GAGAGGTGAGACGGCACATACACTCCACGAGGAAATCTTAGTGCCATGTGAAAAGGGCTAAGAAGGGCTTTGGGAAATTCAGAAGACTTAGATCCTGAGGCCAGAAGGACCAAGAAAGGCTTGTGGAAGAGGTGGCTCCTTTAGCTGGAGCTTACAGGATGGGAAAGACGGGGTCCATTGAAGCTGGCAGAAAGAGCAAAGCACACCTGTGCAGAGGCGTGGACATTAACTAGAGCTGTACCGTCGAAGAAAGAGCATGTGCCACGTGTCATTTTAAGTGTTCTAGTAGCCACATTTAAAACGAAGGCAAAAGAAATAGATGAAATTCCTCTTTTAACCAAAATTTTAAGATTATAATAATATACTTGATAAAGAATATATATATATATATACACACACACTTGGTTTAACACAAAACCAGACCAATTGCTATCAAGTAGATTGTGATTCATAGCAACCGTTTAGCCCCTGCGGGTTTCTAAGACTGTGATCTTGACGGAAGCAATCTGTCATTTTTCTCCCCTGTGGAGCAGCTGGTGAGTTTGAACCACTGACCTTTCTGGTAGCAGCTGAGCATTTAACTACTGCGCCACCAGGTCTCGATTTAGTCCAACATAATCCCAAAATGACCATTTGAACATATTTGTTGCTAGTTGCCATTGGGTTGATTCGACTCCTGGTGACCCCATGTCAACACGTCAGTGTAAAAATAATTCTTAATGACTGCATGCTTTTTAAAATAACAGCTTTCAAAATTCAGTGTTTATCTGATATTGCAATCACATTTCAATACCTGAAGTGATCGATAGAGATGTGGGGCATCGAGGCCTAGAGTATTGAGTGTGAAGGTAGGTAGTCAGAAATACCCTTGGGAAGGTAAGAAGTACATGTCCTTCTGCTGCCAATTACCAAAATCTCCTAAGACTGTTATTAAGGTGTGGCCCAAAGCAAATGTTTATAATTCCTTGCATTTGATTAGTACTTCAGAGAGGAGAGAGTGAGCACTTTCACCCACCCATTTGATCTCCATAACCACCTATGTTGTAGGCTGGGCAAAGAGGGTTTTTTGTTTTGTTTTGTTTTGCTTTGTTTCCCCCACCACAGGGGAAACTGAAGCCCAGAAAGGTTCAGTGGCTCTCCTGGAGTGGCCAGCTCATACACGGAATGGTAGTAATTCGTTTGTTTACTTCCTGCAGAGGACAGGAAGAAAGACATACACCGAACTCATCAGCTAATTCTGAATTGTGCCTTACATCATTTTTGGATCAGGAGATCTTACTGTCTTAGAACCTGATGTCATAGAATGAGAGAGAGATGCAAAGTCATATGGCCTAGTATCTTGCTTTTCCCCAGGGACTCGCCCC